TCTTAAAGGCTGTCTGCTGTGTTCGATTGTCCTGATAACCTGTGAACTTTACAATTCCTCACTAGAACCTCCCCACCTACGACGTCCGCAATCGTTTCAGTTGTCAGGCCATGTCGATTCTATGCTACGCGTCGTCTGCGAAGCTGAGAGCGGCATTCCAGGGCCGAAGATCTCGTGGCAGCTCAACAACGTCAGCCTCAGTCAGAACCAGGGCTTTTATACATTAACTGAATCTGGCTTGTTTATCTTCAACTCCCTCAAGTGAGTCAACCTGAAAGTCTTTATCTGTTGATCTATTCCGTTTGCTCTAGTGAATCTGCTATCTAAAATCCTTGCTCAGGGTCGGATGGATAGCTTTTGTTATGCCATTAAGCGTTATTTTTGCCAGTTCGACTGGAGAAGAGCCAAATAAATTGCCGTGACATTTTTGTCTATGCGATATGTAGGCAGTCTGTTGAGTGTGTTGAAATGTATTGGTGTACTTAAATCTTTTAAGATTTTCATCTAATCTCTTGTCGAATGCTCCCAACTCAAGAGGTTACAGCCAGACCTTTTGTAATGGCGCATCGCTCTCGCCAGCAGATCATCATTGTGTCTGCAGGTGGGCCGTCTCTTCTCCAAAACACAACGTAAATCACTAAAGTCGTCTGGCTATTCTGATTTTTCCATTTCAGGGAGGCAGACGAGGGCGAACTGACCTGCATTGCTCGCAACAGCGCTGGAGAGGACCGCTTGACATTCCAGATTTCTGTTCTGGGTACGTTGACAAATACGCGTAATTTTTATGATATTTAAAATAAGCATAAGTAATTGACAGTCGAATAAGTAATTGATTAAATTATACTATTTGATGCTGACTACCTGCAAGAAGATCATTTTAAATAATACCAAAGGCCTAAAGGACAAGTTGGGACAAATTTTCCTCTGTCTGCTGCAATTTTTCTCTGTTGGGAGACTAATGCCGTCAAGGTCTTCGCGTCGCCCTCAGCTCTTTTTTGCAGGAATCTTCAATAAAAGTCTGATGACTTAGGCCTTCGCATACTTCATTCTGCATGGAGTCAGCTTATAAAGGATGAATAAGGAAATATGATTAAATTTTAGACATCCATATGGCTATAGCTGAAGAGTCTTGCTTCATCTTTGCTGGCGTTCATTCAGATGTACTGCTTCAAATCTGAGCGAATGAGCGATTTTGCTAAAATGCATCCTTTGTAGGTCAAAAGGAGGATGAGATCTTCGGTAGCCACAGAAGAGTTAAGAGTGGCGATTTAACTTTTGACTAACTCAAACGGAAGGCAACTGGGTTCTATTAGCTCCCTCAGTGACTGAATTCTCAATAAGGCGTGCATTCTCCAACTCAAAGACAATGAGTTTGTATTGACAACATGTTTTTCTGTGTTTAAGTTTCATTGAATGGAGTCCTAGAACTTAAATTGAGTCAACTCTGCGGTCTGTCTTGAATGTGGTGATGCATTTTGGTGAAAAAGTTGCAGCAAACTCGAAGGGCAGTTAGCGTCTCACCGTTCTATGGTGCTATGTGAGTACTAGGGATGTATCTCCTTCATATTATGACATCTGGTAGTAATATTGGACATTAAAAAAATATAGCTCTCGAAATGTAAAAACTTGGCTACTATTACTTCAAGTTCCAGCTCGACATCCAATTCAAGGCCAGCTAAAGGCTAATTTGTATTCATTTCACACTTAGAACATCTCGATTTTTTCAATAAATTTGCTTTACCTTGAATTCGTTCCACAAATCTGCAAAGTCCCCCCTCGTGTTCATCTGCCTCCTTCTAACCTGGGCTACGAGGACAAGCCGGTCACTCTGGAGTGCACTGTTTTTGGCCGACCGGAGCCGAAGGTCACTTGGGAGTTCAACGGGCAGTCAATCGCCTCCGCTTTGGGCAATCGGGCCCAATTTGTCACACCGGCCAAGTTGACAATTCATTCGCTTCAGGTACGGCTAAGAGGAGGGCGCATTGCAATAAGGAGAAAGGGTACTGACGACAAGAGCTAGGCCTGTAGAAAAATGTTTTAATACAACTTTAATTGCTCAGTAATACAGGTCAATGCTTTCAAAGTTCTGCTTAAATGTAGATTTAGACTGTTTGACAGTTTTGGGTCCTTCAGAGGCCGGTTTAGGGAACTGTTCTATTACTAGAACATTGTATGCACAAGTTTCTATCTCTTTTGTATAAGATCGGAAGACGCCTTGGTGAAATATTGCATTCATGAGAAGGCCCGGGCTGAAGGTCCACAAAATAATCCTGCTAAGTGGACT